GTTTTTAAAGTCAGCCATTCTAGCTTAATGCACTCAATGCAAAGATAAACTAATTTGATGCTTACATGTTGAGGAATAATGCTAGGAAATTATTAAGTCTTTGTTTTCTGTAGTTAAACCGTTATGGTTCCATAAGAACCGAAAACTTTGTGTGTGTAGGGAAAACAGTGCAGTTCATAATATCTAGTGGACTGTAGTTTGAGATAGGTGTTTTGGGAAATGTTCATGGGGACTGTGGGGTTAACAGCATTCATGGTATTTAGTGTACACACTGGGAGTTCAGACCAGTGCTGTAGTGAAGTTGCATGCTACGACCATAGGTGAGTTCCAGGAATACCTTGGGATTTGGCTTAATTTCTGGTCATTGTGTCTTAAGTAACCTTCCTCTTGTCAAACTTCTCACGACTACTACATTTGGTTACATGACTCCAAATAGGATTGCAACTCACAGTTTAAGATGCTGTGGCATAAGGAAATGTATATAGGGGAGTCCCAGGCTTAGAGAAGATGGCACGTTCCAACCAACTTAAAGTATCATTCTTCTTTTTTTTTCTTTCTTTTTTTTTTTTTTTTGGTTTTTTTTCAAGACAGGGTTTCTCTGTGTAGCTTTGCACCTTTCCTGGAAGTCACTCTGTAGCCCAGGCTGGCCCCGAACTCACAGGGATCCGCCTGGCTCTGACTCCCGAGTGCTGGGATTAAAGGCGTGCACCACCACTGCCTGGCTAAAGTATCATTCTTTGATGGCTTCACTGCTTACTAAAAACATAGAAAGGAGACAATTTTTTTTTTTTGCCTTACAGTGGTCCTCTATTCCTACTACTCTAGTTTTTTTATTTGCTAACTTATCCATCTATGAAGGTTTATTTGGGAAGTCATGTTAACCAGAAGAAAAGCCCACTCTCCCATACTTATTATTGCATAAAGAAATTTTTTATTTTCTTCCTGAAAAGGGAATAGAAAAAGGAAGATAATTCTATTTTTTTTTTCATAATCCATCCAAGGAAAGGAAGAGTTTTCCTAATCAGATAAATTGGGGAAAGAAACTAGGTGTATGTGGATCCACCCTTCTGTTTCTGCTGTGGGGTTCATGCTTGGAAATTGCATGGCTTGTTTTCTCTGTGCATGCAACTGTCTCATACATACTTTGTATGAGCTCTGAGCTTCCCTATTTAGCATTCTTCACTGTAAGGACACATCAGAGCACTGAGGACCTTTTAGCTTTACCTTCGTAGCCCTGCTATGCTTTTTACTTTAAAAATTTTAAAAGATGTATTTTTAAAAATTTTATGTATATGGGTATTTAGCCTGTGGGTATATTGTGTACCACATGTGTGCATTGCCCATAAGACTGGCAGAGAGCATTGGATCCTCTGGAACTGGAGTTACAGCTGACTGTGAGTCTCCATGTGGGTGCTGGGAAATGAATTCCAGCCCCCTGGAAAAGCAACCAGTGCTCTTAACCACTCTCCCATCTCTCTAGTTCTGATGTTATGTTTTTAAAGCCTTTTAGCTTCTTGGCTTCATAACCTCTGCTTGCAGACCAGTAAAAATGCCTTGAGTTGAAAAAGCCACTTTGAACCTTAGACTTATTTTTCAACTCTTTTCTTTTTTGGGGAGATCTTAACTTCTTAAGATACAAGCTGCCCTAGTAGCCTTCCAATGCTTTCAAATAGTTGATTTTTTGAATTTATCTGGCCTTTCTAGTTTTTTCTCAGAGAGAGAGTTGGATTGATACCAGCTAGAACAGTAGATCCTTAAGGATATAGTCTGAGAATTCTTGGGAAACCCTCATGACCCCACGTCATTTTTATTGATAATTTCACTGAAGTTATAAAAGCAATGATTGGAAAGGTACCTTAGTGTGAACCAAGGGTGTGACACCAAACTATACTATAGCAATAATCTTCACTGCCATACATTGTTAAAACAAATTTCAATTTTAATTGAAAAAATGTCCTTAATATAGAATTGACAACCATTGCTTTTACTAAGGCTCTAAAAATACTTATTTTTATGTGTATGGTATTTTACGTGTATGTATGTTTGGATGTCACATGCATGCTATGCCATGGCGGCCAGAAGGGGACATCAGATCCCCCAGGACTGGAGCCAGAAATGGTTGCAAGTGGCCATGTGGGTGCTAGGAATCAAACCCAGCTTCTCTGGAAAAGCAGCCAGTGCTTTTAGCTGCTCAGCCATCTCTGCAGTCCCAGGCCTACATCATTCACTTTTAAGTGTTGTTATTAGCTTTCGTGGTTGTAGCCTTTGAGTTGTCCATCAGTGACTAAATCCTGATAGATAAATGGCATGCATTGTTTCTAAGTATTAGAAATCCCTAACATGTTCTTGAAAAAGGACAATTAAACAGCCTCAACGCTTAGTCAGTCAGCCACAAAATTTACGTTGGGAAGCTGCCCTGACTCTACAGTGCATACCAGCTACCAAGCATTCAAAAAGTAGGAAGCCTTTGGGTTGCTTTAGAGACAATAAATAAGATCTGATTCTTATCTTGAAACACTCTAGATTTAGACTGTAAATTCAGATAATCCATTCCTCATCATCAGTGAATATTCTGCCCCCACCCAGTGTCTGGGAAATATGAGTATATGTAGAAATAACTGTGAGATGGCTGAAAGATAGGAGTAATTCTCTTTCCTAATAGATACCCACCCAGGCTCTTTCTGTCAGGATTGTTTTACCTTTATAGCTCTGTAATGCTTAGAGTCAGAACAATTCAATTTTGGTTTTAGTTTTTTCTCATTTTGATTTTATATGTGGAGAATGTATCCCTATAACAACCTTCAGTTTTTGAGGGGATGGACTGTGCCTGCTTTACATCACATACAGTGTCTAACTGCTGTACAGGCTCTTGATAGTTGCTGGTCAGTTTAAATTTGTAATGCAGGAAATTAATTCTCTGCTTCTAAATGCTGGTTGAGAATTCACCATTCACCATGTGCAAGGCACTGTTAGCCCCTGACAGTATGCCTTCTTGAATTTTATCTTTACCCCAGAGAAAAGGTGACAGCAATTTATTTAAGATGCTGAGGATGTGGAGTCTGCTTGCCTTGAAATAATTGTTCCCATGGCAGTAGAATTGTTATAGAAGAAATCATTTTTGTTGTAGTTGGAAGTCTTGCCTTCGATGAGAACAGATTAGGGCTGTAAAATTTCAGTAAAAGACCTGGACACTTGTCCTGTTTGCCATACCTTTTGTCAGACAGAACCATGGTCTTAAGCATAAGCCTGGAGAGCAGAATTGGTTCTGATTTCACATTGGAACTAGTGTTTACACCAGCAGCCAACTGACCTGGTAGATGTTGGTCCTCACATTGAGAGGCCTATGCTTTTTCTTCAGTGCTTGTTGGCAGGCCCTCAGCAGCCTTGGACATAGCCTAGGCTCTTACACAAGGGAGCCCAGTGCAGGAGTTTGGCTTTGAACTCATAAATGGGTACATCAGGAGGCCAGTTTCTCTCCCAGTGTTAATGAGTTTAAATGTGTTACTGTCTAGGCACCAAATGTTTGCAAAATGTACTTAGCGCTGCTATGCTCAGGAGCTACAGGTGACACTTCTTGGCCCGTGCTTAGATGTTCCCTATAATGCAGCAAAATTAAACATGTAGTAGAAATGCTTGCTTAAAAAATGTATAATGTGACATTGGCTGAGGCCCTGGCTCTGAGGGCAGACTGCCCAACTCTGTTTTCTAGCTGTGGGATCCTGAGGGAGGTCATTCTCAGTGTGGAGAGCTCATTGCTTACAACCCAGAACCCTAAGAGTTGCTAGGAGGATGAGATGTGCTGGTCCTTATAAAATACTGGGCAGATCAGTGTCAGTTGTTATTACTGCTTTTATTTACGCCAGTTATGAGATGATGTTCTAAAATTCCAGTCATCGAACTCGATAGAACTACCTTCTTACTATCTCCCCACCAGTTCTCAGTTTCCAGATGACCTGACTGTGTCTGCTTCTTAACAATTAAAACCAACAGTGATTTGTTCCTGTGCGTGTGATGTCTATGGGGGTGAAGGATGCATTTCAGAATACTCTTAGTTTTGGAATCTCAGACCTGCACAGTTATCTTCCTGTGTGTGCTGCCATTGCCATGAGCCCAGATATGCCTGTTGCTAATTAATCACTTCCACTGAGAACTTAATGAGTGGCTTAATTAGGATCATCTTTGAGTAGCAGGCAGTAGCATCTTGTACAAGTTCCAAGTTACTGGCTAGCTCTCACTAGTTCCTCTGGTATTCTGGAAGTTTAGACCGAGGAGGGAGGGCCTTATGCGTCTGTGTGTCTGTTTGCTCACCTAAAGAAGCTTGCAGAGGTTCGGTGGCATCTGTGATACATTCATGAAGTGTCACACATGTGAAAACAAGCCAACATAACCACTTAAAATAAATCCACGGGGAAACTAAGACTAGTTATTGAATTCTTGTGATTGTGCTAAACAAGCAGGAAACATGTTGTTTGCAAGTGTTGAAAATGAGCCCGCACATTCTTCATATGACAGAGTATTTCATTTTTCTGCTGAAAGCTAAAGTATTTTCCTTCTGGCTTCCTCATTTTGTAATATATATATATATATTTGAAATATTGCTGCATTGTTACAGAATGAAATCTGCACTCCATTTTCTTTCTCTTCACCCCCTTAGGAAAATATGGGAAAATGAGGCGAAAGGAGAACATTCCTGCCTTATTTTCCTATGGTAGTAGAAAGGGAGTTAGGCATGGGAGGACCATCATGTCATCCCCTAAGCCTTCCTCCAGCCTTCCAGATGGACTGTAACCTTGCAACATGATAGAAAATCAGTACACAGGTAGCTTCTATTTTATAGAAAGGGGAATCCTTTGAGTCAAGTTCACAGGTGAGTACAAGAACTGTGCAAGGGGCCGGCTTTCCCTGAGCATAGCTGCCAGTCTTGATTGTCACAGGCTTTTAGACTTGGGGAGATGATGAGCTTCACTAGAGGATCAGCTGAATTATTTTATATCCAACAGATTGGCTGCTCCTCCCAGGTGAAGTGGAACAGGGTATAAACGCCAGTGTTCCTGCTTATGTTCCTTCTGTGGACCTGCCTCTCACTTCTGAGGTGAAGCAGAAGCCCGCCATGGGAAGAACTCTGAAGCACACGGAAGAGGTACTCCCTGGGAAGTCCATCATGACAGTACATGGGTTTTGTCCTTCCAGGGAACCCCTGTATCTGCATGCTTTGTATTTTTCCTTGGTTTGGGATAATTTGGAGTTCAAATTGTTTAGTTGACCTTGCTCGCTTCCATCTGTCTCTGATGTACACAGAGCAGTGATGTTTGTGTATAGAAACACGTTTGACCTCTGTAGTTCTGGGTAGGGTCTGCTCAGTAGATGAAAGGATGTTTTCTTCTCTTTTGGTCTAACCTGGTCATTCTGAGGGCCTGTAAACCTTTGTACTGGGTAAGGTAAGGACAGGATGTAAACAGAATCCCAGTCTGAAATCCATTCCTGAAAGGAGGTAGAAGTTCATTTCTTGCATTTAAAGATTTGTAGAGAGTTCCTACAGTGAATGGGTCAGTTCCTTAGAGTAATCAGAGAGCAGAGGCTCTGACTTGAATCCATTGACAACTGCTGAGTAATTGTTCATATCTAGGCATATGGAAGGCTGGAGAATGTCACCTCAGCATAGTTTTCAAAAGTGGGGAGAACAGGATCTCTGCTATAGTTTATTCTCCCTGAAGTATTCCTTGAGAGCCATTGTGCTCTCACTTTATAGCTCTCTGCCAACAACCACACTGCAGCGGTGCTGGGAAGTAACTTCTTACCCTGTCTAACATGGAGGGGGAGACACAGGAGTTGCTGGGGCTCTCTATTAGCGTTTTCTGCTAGAATCCCTAGGGCCCCTCTTTGATTTCCTTAATCATTCAGGTGCTCTTGTACTGTATATTCTGTTACGGAATCAGCTGTTCAATCAGAGATGACATACACATTTCAATCTTAAATGGTGCTTTCCCTTATAGTACTTTTGTCTACTATTCTGAAAAGTACACCCAGGATGCTTGCGGGCTTGTATTGAACTCCCAAATTGGTTGCTAGACAAATAAGTCAGAACAGCTGACTTATTTTTGAATTATAGATTATACTCTCTAAGCTGTAAGAAGCTAAAATTACAGGGCTTCTCCAAGCAGGAATCCATTTCATTTTAAGGCTTGTTTATATTCTTGGCTGGTTGTGACCGTACAGGATACTGGACATGGCACCCACTACCTAAGAAATGCAATTACTTTTAAGTCAGTTATAGAGTCTCTGTATTTTGGGACAGTGATTGAAATTATTATAAATTAGTTTCAGTTAGTGGTTAAAGAAGCTTATTCTTGGACCTATCTCATAGTCGATGAAACTCAAATTACAACTACGAGTATTATACCTAGGGCCTTGCCCACAATAGGCAAGCCTTTATTTCCCCCATTTTAAAAATTAATTATTTGAGACTCTCATGAAATCTCTTTTTATTATATTCACCCCCAATTCCTGACTTCTCCTAGATACACCCCTACCTCCCTAACCTCTCCTCCAGTTCCATATACTTTTTTTTCTTTTACTGAACTGTATCTTTCCTGTGTAACTTGTGCTGCCCATGAACTTGTTCTGTAGCTCAGGCTGGCAGTTCTCTTGCCTCCACCTCCCAAGTACGAGGATAATAGGAGAGTATCACTAAGGCCAACTTATGGCTGGTATTTTTTAAAGGACTAGAACTGTCCTAATAGAAAATATGAACATTTTAAAATGCTAGAGTCAAATTAATATGAACAACTTTTGTGTTGTCAAACTCAAGAGCTATCTGGGACTAATTTTGGCTGCCTTTGGGCTGATATTTTGTATGTAAGCTTCATTACTTTTTGTTTGCAATCAGGTTTCACTAGGTAGCACAGGTCAGCCTTGAACTTGCTCATTTTCCTGCTAGTAAGAGCTAAGATTACAGGTGTGTGCCACCACACCCAGTTGGGATTTTCAGGTGTAATCATTATTTGTTGGAGGATCGTTTTAGAACCGTCTGAAATCACAACACTGAACCAAGTCTGCCTGTGTTTAATGGCACAAATCTTCTTCTTCTTCTTCTTCTTCTTCTTCTTCTTCTTCTTCTTCTTCTTATTATTATTATTATTATTATTATTATTATTATTTGGTTTTTCGAGACAGGGTTTCTCTGTGTAGCTTTGCACCTTTCCTGGATCTCACTCTGTAGACCAGGCTGACCTCGAACTCACAGAGATCCGCCTGCCTCTGCCGCCCGAGTGCTGGGATTAAAGGCATGTGCCACCACTGCCCAGCCACAAATCTTATTTTTAATCACCTAAATCATAAAAGAATGTAATCATCAGTTCCTGGCAAGTGTCCTGTGAGGAACCATCAAGGAGCCTTTGGGGCTAGAACTGGTGGTGTCTGCATTCAGTGACTGCAGTCTGAAAGCTGAAATGTGTTCTGTGAGTCCTGCTTCCTCATAATTGTCTTTTCAGAACCCAACTTTCTGCTGTGGATTGGGTCTGTTTGATTTCCCCCCTAATTTTATTACTAGTTTATGTATGTGCATTTTCCCCTTAGAGAGAGGGACATTTTTTCACACCTCCAGCTTGTTATTTGTCAATAAATCCTTGCTTTGATTCCTCTGTTTTGATAAATTTTGGAGGTTTTGAACTGCTTTCTAGAGCAAGATGGGTTCATAATAGTGAGAGGGAAATTGTGTTTCCCTGAATTGACAACCATGGAAGAGGTCAGTAGAGAAACTCAGGTCCCTTGTCTTCCATTTCACAATGGGATTCTAAACATTTCCCCACCAAGTTACTTTATTTACCACATTACTCTGTGTTTGAGCCTGTAGCTAAATGCTACTGTTATTGATTTGAGCATTAGTTTTGGGTTCCTTAATTTGCCCATGTGGTATTATGAATGAAAATGCATCCTCCTTTAACAGTGTCTGTGTAAGAATCAGTCACATGAGCCATTTTAAGGAAACTCAAAGTTTCCTAATAGTACACAAATTCTATTCCCATAGTGGTCACAAAAAATTTTCAATTAGGCTTGAAATTAGATACCTGAAATCCACACATTTCTCTCAGTTCCTTAGGCAAAAATAACAAGTTAATAACTTAATTCACACTTGTTTTTTGTTTAGCAGCAGGGGATTTGGTGTTGTATAGCAACAATTCTTCTCTAAAATAAACCAGAATTTCAATTTGTAGTCGAAACCTTGGAGACGTAGAACTTAAGATGCTGAAATAAGCCCACCTTGAAAGAAGAAAGCTTTCAGACTGCCCCAGCAGTCAACCGCTGGATTGTGGAGCAGCATGCAGCCTCACTGTGTTTGAAGGGGCACGGTGATGCTTTCTGAATGGCGTGGCACACCTCATTTCACTCAGAATTACGTGTCTATACCTTGTCACTCCTGCATGCCTCTATAAGCTTATGTTATTGCAACATAAAATGTCAGAATGAGCTCAGAACCAAACGTAGACATAGAGCAGATATTTACTCAATAAACAAATAAACACATTCTTCCTGCTAACTGGGAATGACTTTGTGATACAGTGCCGTGGTTGAGGGCTGTATCACAGACCTTATGCCTTTGTATACTCACTCCCCAGCTTCTGGTGCTGTTTTGGGGGAATTGAGGAACGTTTGGAGGTTGGACTCTAGCTGGAGAAAGTGAGTTCCTTGAGGCTGTACAGCCCAGCCACTCTGCCTGTCCTCTGTCTGCTTCCTGCTCTGTGTAGGTGGGTACACGATGCTGTAACATGTCCCCACATGATGCCAAGACCTGGGGCTGACCTTCCCTTGCTGTGTTTCTTTTTTTTCCCTGTGGTATGGACGTATTTACTCTGACACTGCTGGAAGTGTGTAATATCTTGATTTTACAGGGGCTGATGGTTTAGAGATACTCTGAGTATCAGAAGAGACTCTGCATTTGCACGTTTGAATGATTGCTAAAGACTATAGGACTTTTGAAGTTGGACTGGATTCGTTTTGCATTATGAAACAATCATGAGCCTATGGGGCCAGGGAGAGAATGTCCTGGTGTGACTGTGACATGCACCACATAGATGAATGTCTAAACATTTGGTCTCCAGCTAGTGACACTGGTTTGGGAGGTGTGGAGTCTTTAGAAGGTGAGAGGGATGTGGTCGCTGGAGATGGGTCTCAAGGTATTATAGACTGGCCCACATCCTGTCCTTGCTAGGCTTCCTGTCCACATGGATGTGAGGAAGTGGCTGTCACATGCTCCTGCCACCATGGAGCTATCTGCTGCCAATGCCTTCTCTACCATGATAGGCTGTACCCCTCAAAGTTTGAGCCACATGAAAGTCTTCCTCCTCTTGTTGTTTTTGTGAGGTAAATGTAACTAATACAGTGTCCTTGTCTCTTTCCTCCTCTCTTGGTTCCTTTCCCACAAGGTCACAGTGATCCAATCTCCTTCCCATCCTTGACAAAAAGGAAACAATAGAAGGAAAACACCCTTGGCTTCCCTTGGCCCTTTCTTTGGCTATGGTCTGTTCCTCTCCTTTTCCCACTCAAATTCATGAGTGCCTCTAGTTGAGTTCCCTCTAGTTTCTGCCCAACTCCGTTAGTGCTCTGCTTCCTCTCTTCTCCTTCCTCTTTCAGTGAACTATGAAATGCCTTGGCCTTGGCTGCCTACCTGAAAGTGTTCAGAACGAGGATACGTGGTAGAGTGCAGTGGCCTGGTCTGCCGTTTCCTTTTCTGTATTTACGGAGTATGGAGAGCCGCGCCTCTTCTGCTATGGCAGTCTCCCTATACTCTTGCTGTACTGGCTCTCACAGTTCTGCTCTATTCTTTGTGTGTTTCTGAAATTGCTCCTCCCATCCTCCTTTGGGGGTCTTTGTCTGCCCACTCCTAACAAGTCAGTGTTCCCCAAGGCTCCATCTATACGCCTAGTGACTCTTCCCTCCCTGAATGCTGGAAGCAATTTTCATTCTAAATTCTTCCTGTTATGCTTATGTCTGTAAATGGGCATGTCTAGCTTCAGATCTTTTCCCCCTCGAGCTTTGGGTTTGTGTATTTAAGTGCTTTTTGACTTCTGTATCTTCCAGGGATCCTCAGATGCAGTGTGTCCACAGCTGAGTTTCCCTTCCTCTACTTTCTCCTCTGCCATT